GGCCCGTGACTGACAGGGGCCCAAACATTTTTAGAACATTAAGAAAAAAATGTTTAAGTAACCAATGTGATATATTTTCATGGGGCCCAAAATCCCTGACGGCGCCCCTGTTCATGTCCATCACAAAACCTCTAACGTGCATTACATTGACGATTTTAAACAAAACTAAACTCTCTCAACTTGTAAATTAACGTTAATTTAACTTACCCTTAAATAACTACATCACGTTTTTCAGGGGCAACACAAACTGCAGAAAACGTTAGCTGCTAACTCCAGGTTAGCATGTTAAGCTGTACTTTATGAGGCAGCTAGCTTAGTACAAAGAGGGTGTGTGTGCTACCTTAATTGTAAGCCTTTCTTACAAATGTGTGTTAATACCTGAAACTGTAGAGACAGTTTGTTTCTACTCAACTATGCAGACCATTGTTGACAGGGTTGCCAACTTTGGGTACCTGGCTGGAGTGAAATTTTGATATCATGGGTTTGATTACACATATGCGCACGAAATGACTGCTAAGTGTCAGCAGCGGGACCTTGGCATACAGGGCCGTTTCTTCCTATAGGCGGACTATGCAGGGGCATAGGGCCCCCGCGGCCACTAGGGGGCCCCCAAGCTGAACGTTTTTTTTGTTTTTTTTTATTCATCCGAAAAACAAAACAAGTTTAATTCATACAAACAAAGATGAACAAAATTAGTAGAAGCGGGAGGGCTGAAGCATAGCTTGTGGAAAGCAGCCCTCTCGTGCATCATCCTAATACAACGGCATCATTGCGTCAAAAACGTATAGAAATGAAGGAGTACAAAGAAATAAATAAAAAATTAAATAAAAGTTAGGGCAGGAAAACAATAAATGCATATATATATATATATATATACGAAAACTAGATATAGAGTCATTTTTTTTCGTCAACAAGCAGTCCTAAAAATTTACATACACCAACTTTTTCTATCTCTGTATTGCAAATCCGTATAATGCAGTCATTTCTACTCTCAGACTTTGTATTGAATAACATGTAATTTGTTTTGGCCACATTAAGGGATAATTTATTAACTGCAAACCAGTTACATAGTATTTTTAATTCTGCATTCACAATTTTAACAAGATCGCCAAGATTATGATGGGAGCAGAGAATTCAAAGTTCAGGTTCAGCCTCAATATATTTGGGTAGAATTCAAATGAGCTGTCTTTATTTGTAGACAGCCAAGCCCCCTCCTGTGTTCGCAGTGGCGTTTTTATATGTACAAAAGTGGTGGGGCACAAAAAACGTAGCTGTCTATATATAAGCTTCTGCAGTGAGGTTCATGGCTGGTGAGGCACTGGCACTGACTCTTCAGGTTTACAAATATATTTTGACCTACATCAAAATATAATATTATTTTCAAAAGCTTTTTTTGTCTGATGATTCGATTAATTTTAAACAGACAGTTCAACAAAAGGATACCCAAAAAATGTAATTGTATCATTTAAATATTGAATTGTTCTCCCTTAGTAAGATCCCATTTTCAATAAAATTGCGGTCTACCTTGACTTGAAGATGAAGTCCATTTGCCTATCCTTCTTCACAAAAATCTCTATTACTATTTTGTAAAAGTCCTCCTTATCTTCTTGTAGTTTCAATAGTCTATCATAAATCTAATCGATAGATTTATGATTATAAAATGATAAAAGTAGGGTAGACATGTGGATATTATCCGGCTGAACAAAACGTGCATTTATCTAACAGGTACGTTTCCCACAGATCTTATTTTGAGCTATTTTCTAAAATCCTATGGAGAAATCTCATTGCTTTTTTGTGGAGGGAAGCCATGCGCAGCTTACTTCCTGGGTTTAGGACGCGTCTCTCTCCTCCTCTTCACACACCATACTTTTCGCAGCACACGTACTTACAGCCAATCAGCTCTGAATGTGAGATGACGTATGGTGGGGATGGTAGCTCTATGCCCCTATGGTCATTATTTTTTTGCCACACACATTAAATAGGAAAATATTCTGAGCATGCGCAGTGTAGTTTTTACAGTCACCGTTCACTAAAAGGGACATGGAAAAAAAATAATGTCAGGAAAACGGGTTCGTTTCTCGTGCCCGTTACCCTGACTTGAGAAAGTTACCGATGCACCAAGGAGGAAGTGGAACACACAGGAGACAACCATTTCATTGCAGACTGTTATGTTTACGTGGGGAAATGACAGTGCATACATTATTTGAGATATATTTTGAACTCAGACTTAATTTTATGGACATTTCGGCCAGGGGTGTAGAGCTATTGATTTAAGCACCGGACTGGCAAAACAGGAGAGTCTGTAAACCAGTCTGCTTTGATCTATGAATTAATGTCCGTGACTCTCAGAGTACCTGTGCTGTTTTTTCACACACACACACACACACACACACACACACACACACACACACACACACACACACACACACACACACACACACACACACACACACACACACACACACACACACACACACACACACACACACACACACACACACACACACACACCACACACACACACACACACACACACACACACACACACACACACACACACACACACACACACACACACACACAAAAGGTTGGGACAGTGTGTAAAATGCAAATAAAAACAGAAAGCAATTATTTGAAAGCATGAGGACAATTAGGTTTATAGCTAAACATCTTTACATTGATCAGGCACACACCTGAGAAGAGTGTATGGGTGGAATCTGTGGTGCAATCAGGATGAGATGCAGCAGGCTGTTCTGACGTTCCTTGTAGTGGTTCTGGGCCTACACATATATAGAGAACACACAAGAGCAAATATATTGGCTGGATTAGAAATGGCACGACAGTCATTTTTACATTCAATTATTTATCATCACATCAGGAACATCTATTGACGTATTGTACTCACCAGAACAAACAGGCACAGTGGTCAGTGGCAGGGTGGAATCAGTGGTTGACAAGGAACAGCCATGCACCTCAGCTGTGCCGGCTTCCTCAGGTGAGTGCAATGTGTCAATAGATGTTATTGATGATAAATAATTTAATGTGAAATCCAGTCAATATATTTGCTCTTGTGTGTTCTTTCTATATTTATAGAACTGATGCAGCAGGTGGTCCCAGATATTTTAAAAGTGAAACTAAAATGATATAACAAAATGTGTATTATCAACATTGAATAATTTCCATTTGTTAAATGTAGCTATTATTTAGTTAGTAAGTATTTGGACAGCCTGACAGGTCTGATTCAACTAATCAAGAGCTATGCCTATCTTATTAGAACAATTGAACCAGGTGTGTTAGTTCTGGGTTGGAACGAAAACATTCAACAGGACTGGAGTTGAGAACCACTGAGCTAGTTAGCTAACGTTAGCGCACATTATGACAGGGTTGAATTTGGCAAATGTTTGACTCAGATAGTCAATGTGCTTTCTGAGGTAAATTTAACGTTAGCTAACGTTACCAACTAACTAACATTCCACCACACTGGCTAGCTCGCTACATCAAAACTAACATTGTTATTATTACTAATATTTCTATTTCATGACACAACGAAAATAGCCTTATGACAGTTTCGACTGAATGGCAATAACAAACGCTGGCTAGCTAACGTTGGCTTGGCTAACTAGCAAGATTACATGATCCATTCGCTAATGTTGACAATACAATCAAAATTGCATACCTTTCACCTTGGCACGTTTCTCTTCTTCTTCTTCTTCTTCATTTATTCAGTTTTTATACTGCGCCCCGGATGACTTTTGCCTCTTCATAGTTCTCTAAAGTCTCTAAGTTTTCTCAACGCTCAATTTTATAAACACTTGACCGATACCCATCAATGGACAGCGCTCTAGCATGTTCTGACTGTGAACACCTAAAGCCGAGGCTCTTAGACCGACCGTTTTAGATTTTTGGCTAATTTTCCCTTATGTTAGAATTTATTTATTTTTTATGTAAGAATAATGGTTGCAGATATAGAGGTGGGCGCCAAAACTGCACCAAGCAAAACAATTAAAACGGTTTTTTTCGCAATTTTTGGCACTCCCCTCTGGATGACGCTCGAGGCAAACGCCGATATCGCCTGTAGGAAGCTCCGCCCCTGCCCAAGGCATTACCAACAGATCAACGCACAATAAACCCATACAGGACATCTCTTTCTCCACATTAAGTGTTAGACATTAGAATGACTATTCTTGTCTGTCACATACTCTTTTGTCTGTCACATAAGTGGCGCAAGTTGCGCCACTGATGCGGTATTGCGCTAAAGGGAAATTATTTTGACCAGAGAGATTTAGATTTGCCGGTCTTCAGCATATTTTACCGGTCATAGTCCGGTAATTACCGGCTAACAGGAACTTTGGTCTGTACCTGTGTACTGTCATGTTCCGAATAACCCAGCTTCCCCAAATTTATTTTTTGTGTCTATCTACGGCGGGATCCTGAGTCGAGGCTGATACTGTTGCTGTGGTCCTGTGTCCTGGATCCTCTATCCTGAGTCCTGATCTGAGTCCTGCATTTCGAATCGTGGCTGAACCTGTCTCTGTGGTCCTGCCTGACTTTCATCATACTACTTCCCTGATGGCTCCCACAGGATTGTTGACATCCTCGTGGATTCATCTTCTTATAGACACATGCACATGCATGCATTTTCAAACATTTAGACTGCCTATGCTGTAAAATGTATTATCTTTTCAATTTACACACGGCACGTCTGTCAATCCTGGGAGAGGGATCCCTCCTCTGTTGCTCTCCCTGAGGTTTCTCCCATGTTTTCCTTTAAACTGTGGGTTTTCTCTGGAAGTTTTTCCTTGTACGATGTGAGGGTCTAAGGACAGAGGGTCTAAGGACAGAGGGTGTCGTATTGTCATACTGATATTCTGTACAAACTGTGAAGTCCACTGAGACAAATGTAACATTTGTGATATTGGGCTATAAATAAACATTGATTGAACTCTAAATGAGCTGATTGTAATCTGCTGCAAAACACAAACAATATGCAGGAATGCGAGTCTGTTTCAAAGGCCTTTTTCTTTTAGTTTGGTTTGATGATATAAACAGAATCAAACTGAAAACATCGTACACATTCTCTATATCAATAAGTCATTGGTTCTTCTTTTAGACCAGAACAGACTGATAACTCAACAGGAACTATCAACAACATCCCAATGGAAGTTTAAAGTCACAACATTTCATTAAACAAACAGATTATTAGAGAAACTACTGCAGATTAATCAGTCAGTGGTTATAGTACACATCAGAAAAGTAGTATGACAAAAACATTAAACATATTCAAAACTTCTGTTGATAATGATGGAGTTTAGATTAAGTCATGTATGAACATTGTCAAACAGAGTTTATACAGACAGATTTTTCTCATATGAATTGTCGAAGGACTAATTAATTGTCCTCTTTTTTTGTTGCAGATTTGACTTGGAAAATGTCAGGTTCAGAAGAGTCTCCTGGGTTGTCCTCAGTCTCTGGTTGTAAATGTCTCTCTGGATCTGAGTTCCTGGCTGGTTCTGGTCCTCCACAGTCCTCTCCATCAGCTTCTGTTTCCATGTGTTCAGCTGAGCTGCTGGCTGGAGGCTCTGCCTCTCTGTCCTCCTTAGTTTGAGTTTGATGAAGCTGTGAGGACTGACGACCAACACATTCATGTTTTTTGACCTGACGACTCCAGGTGAATCTTTTTTCACAAACACTGCAGCTGAATGGTTTCTCTCCTGTGTGGATTCTCATATGTCTCTTTAAATCTCCTCTCTGTGTAAAAGATTTCTCACAGACCGAGCAGCTGAACGGTTTCTCTCCTGTGTGGATTCTCATGTGTCTCTGTAAATCTCTTCTCTCTGAAAAAGATTTCTTACAGACTGAGCAGCTGAATGGTTTCTCTCCAGTGTGGATTCTCACGTGTGCAATTAAATTCCCACGATCTGCAAAAGATTTCTCACAAATTAAGCAGCTAAATGGTTTCTCTCCTGTGTGTATTCTCATGTGTCGTTGGAAATGTCCTCTCTTTGGAAAGGATTTCTTACAGACTGAACAGCTGAACGGTTTCTGTCCTGTGTGGATTCTCATGTGTGTCATTAAATCTCTTCTCTCCGCAAAAGATTTCTCACAAATTATGCAGGTAAATGGTTTCTCTCCGGTATGAATTATGATATGTCTATTCAGACTTGACTTGCGGCCAAATCTTTTCGCACACTGAGAGCATCTAAAGTGTTTCTTTCCAGTCCTACGTCTTGAATCACTGACCGGGTCTTTTTTATTTCTCTGAGACTTTGAACCTGGTTCTCTGGTCTTCTTCCAATCAGCACTGTCTTCAGTCTCAGGTTCAGAAGAGTCTCCAGTGTCAGGTATAGAAGAGTCTCCAGGGTTGTCTTCAGTGTCCGGTTCAGAAGAGTCTCCAGGGTTGTCCTCAGTCTCTGGTTGTAAATGTCTCTCTGGATCTGAGTTCCTGGCTGGTTCTGGTCCTCCACAGTCCTCTCCATCAGCTTCTGTTTCCAGGTGTTCAGTTTGTCTTTGATGAAGCTGAGAGGACTGAGGTTTCTCTTCATCATCTTCACTCTTCACAGGGACAGGAGTGAATGTGGACTTGGTGATATCAGCCTCCTCCAGCCCTTGAAGCTGCTCTCCCTCCTGACTGCTCCAGAGTTCCTCCTGTTCCTCTTTAATGTGTGGGGGGGGCTCTGGGTCCTCCTGGTCCAGACTGGAGCTCCACTCCTGCTGTTGAGGGGGAACCTCTTCTTTAACCACCACCAGCTGATGGACGTCTGCAGGAAACAGGAAACACATTCAGAGAAACTGTTGAGTATTCGAATTTGAAATCTAACCACGATGTTCCGCCCACTGTGTATTTGTGTTGGCTCAATAGTCTGTCAATTACACCTTTTTCCAGATGTCCTGGAGAGTTTCAGGACAATAGGTGAGTTAGTACGGTAGCTGGTCTAAAACATAGTTTCACTGCCGCTTAGCAAGGCGTCTGCCGTTCAAGGAGTGTAAAAAAAAGGAAAAAAAATCGGTCCTGCTTAACGGTTCCTAAACGCGGTCGACCCTGTATTCTACCGGGTCCGTCTGCGCCGCGGCGACCTGGTAGAATAAAGGGTGAGCAGGGGCGGACTGGCCATCTGTGTGTTCTGGAGAATCACAGAACGGCTGGCTCGGTTCGCTGACGGCCGGCACCGCCCTTAACTTTGTGCTGACAGGCGACAGAGGTCCACTGTTGCCCCGTAGCGAAGCTCCCCCCGCCCTCCCGTAGACAGTTCACGAGCTCAGCCACATCATAACACCAAAGATGGTTCGCGGTAAACGCTCTAAAGCAGGGGTCCCCAAACTTTTTCCTGTGAGGGCCACATAACTTTTCCCTTCTCTGATGGGGGCCGGGTCAGTTTGTAAAAGAAAAAGTGTGACGATCGCATGGGTGTCTAAACGTAAACATTTATTGTTTTCTAGAAAGCCACACATAACCAAATATTAATAACCCTTTCCGGGATCTTCACAGAAAAAAAGTCAGGAAATAAATAATAACACTATTAATGAAATAAATAACACTATTTATGAAATAAATAATAACCAAATAACCCTCTCTGGGTCAGTGGCGTTTTCTCCCGGAGGCCAAGGGAAGCCAGGCTTCCCCTGTTTTTTCGGATTGTAGTTATAATTTAAATAAATAAATAAAAACACTTTGTTTTGTTTCGATAATTCTCCTTTGCTGTGTGTTGCTGCCGGCCGTCTCTCCCCCATTCTCATTGAGTATTTTAAAAAGAGTGAAATAGCGCCCCTCTAGATGTTATGGTGAAACAGTAGATTGCACTCTCTGTTGCGAGAGGAGGCCAGCCGAATCTGGCTTCCTTTGGTGAAAAAAAATGGAGGGATTGACCAATCAGATGAGGCCCACGTGATGCCCCTGCCAACCTGTGATTGGTCAGGGCCATGCCAAGGGAAGCCAGCCGCCTCTTGCTTCCCTTCAGAGGCGGCTGGCGGCTGGCGATTTGATTGGACACTGCCATCCAATCAAATCACATCAACATCAGTTTTAATACTGTAACTGTCATCACCGCCGTTAGAAATTATCAAGCAAATGAAGCATTATGGAGGGTGGAGATTTGGCGTACTTAATCAAACATAACTTTACTAAAATTCCGCTACAATTAAATTTCAATTAAACAAAGTCTTGGCTTTCAGAATATTAAACTTGTTTCGGCAAATTCAGATGATAAATACAACTTTGAAGCTTCGGCATAATTACAAGCGGAGAATGGCAGGCACAACAACAGCCGGTGTTTCTCGTGAGTGTTTTCCCCGGGAAACAAACACAATACACACAAACGCAAAATTACACAAGCACACACACTCACACACACACGTATACACACACACTCGCAAGCTTCCCCTCCAAACGAAAATATCTTCCCTCGGTAGTATTTTGATCATTTGCTCCGCTAATAATCAATCAGATCGATGGATTCCAGAGAAGAGACAACTTTGAAGGCCTTTTTCTCAAAATGATGACTCGGTGACAGTCATTATATAATGTGACATATTTCGCTTAATATTTGAAGTACAAAAACAATCCTGATATCATTAGAAAGCTAGGAATATCCTCTTTCCAACAGTGTATACAACTCAAAAGGTGTCTTCAGGTCAATGCGACTGATTTCGATAGAGCAGGTCACAACATTTTGACAGGGGCTAGTCTAGGATTCGCGTGGCCAGACTGAAAAAAAAAAAAGAAAAAAAAAAAGAAAATCATAATGCGTCTCTGGTATTGTTCAGGGGGCCGGGCCAAATGTGGAGGCGGACCGTACCCGGCCCGCGGGCCTTAGTTTGGGGACCACTGCTCTAAAGTGTGGCTCCACTACACTAATAAAGAAAAAGACAAGGTGCAATTATTAACTTGCCACAGTGCAATGCCTGTGGCAAGTTAATAGCTTGCCACTGGCATAGCTCAGTTAAAATAAAGCACAGCTATTGTGCAATACATTTGTATTGCATACATTTTTTTATTTGTAAAAATTTCAGTTAAAGCTTAAAAGAATAAAGATATGTTTGTCCATCCAAACGTTTGACCTCTTTCTTTTACAATTTTGGAATCAAAACAGGGAATCAATAAGAATCAGAATCAATACATTTCAGACCATCCCTACATAAGACCAATAACTAAGACCAATGATCTAAACATTCTGATTTTCTTCTCAAAATCCTGAGTTTTTCAGAATATCTTTAAATGCTGGCCTTTTCAGAAAACCTCAGAATGTTCTTAAAATCAAAACATTCTCACTTAAATTCGAACACATTTTGTCAAAATCCTGACGTTGCTTCCTGATTTTCTGGCCGCGGCTGTGTATAACATGTTTTTTTGGTTGTTTTCTTTCTGTCACACGAATATCAAATCGGTCGGTGACACAGAGATCAGGGAACAGAAGTGACCTAACCATTTATTATACATCCATGCCCCAAACACGGAGCAGCTTTCTCCACCAACACAAGCAACACCAGCCCAGCACCAGAGACAGAATGACCCGCTCTGAATCAGGCCGTGCCGCTGCGGCTCAGAGACACACGTGGATTTACGTTTTGTTTTTAAAACTCTACTTTTACAATCATGTCAGGTGGATTTAATAAAGTCTTGGATTGCAGAGTATAAATGTCCTCTTGCTATTTTCATACGATAAATGCGTGTGTAAAGTTTGTGAAGGCGGGAGGAAAGCTTCTGCGATCACCGTCTCTCCTCTGTTCCTCCAAACCCCGCCCCTCCCTGAAAACACTGAGTGACAGGCTGATAGGAACCTGATAGAAACGTTATTATTCACTTAAAGAGCTTACGAAATTAAAAATCAAAACATTTTTCAAAGTGTGGGAAGGTGAGCCTCCCCTCAGAGAACAAAACAGCCGCGCCCCCACTCCCAATTATTATTGCTATTATTGCTATTATTATTATTATTATTATTATTATTGTTGTTGTTGTTGTTGTTGTTGCTATAATGCAGGGGTATTCAATTGCATTTCAAAGAGGTCCAGTAAGAGAAAATGAAGACTGTTTCTCTCCTCTTGTCTCGTCTCGGTGTTTGAATCTATCGTGTTTTGGCCGAGTAGCGTCACCTCCTTAAAACATTAAACAATAACTTTTTTTCTTTATGTTTTAAACATATTGTATGAAACTCCCCCACTACTTGGACTATTCCTGCACCCCTCCAGAATAAGCCCGAATGGTCTCAACCATATTGCATCAGTAACGTGCACTTGTTGTTGTTATAACAAGATCGCAGACACTGGTAGCGATCGGACAATTGAGTGTTGTTCAGTTTGTGTGCTGTGGAACATGCATGTCCGTGCATGAACATATAACACACACCCAATTACAATTGCATGTTCAATTCACTGCCCTGGAAGTTATTAAAGTTGTTAAAGTTGGAACAGCCTGTGGACAGCCATTCTTCCTTGCATGTCAGTCGCCGACACCTTCTTACAGAGGACAGGCAAATCTAGCTGCAGCACGACCCGTATATTTTCGCACGCCGTGTTCTCAACACGTTTTTTTTTCCTTTTTAACATCGTGGATACACCCTAATATGCTCCCGGCAACATACTGAACGTCAACTTTGCCTCCTTATTACACTCACCCCTACTTTAGTGGGAACAATGAGTCTGCTGATAACCAGTTTGGCTTTAAGGCTAGACATGGCACTGACCTGTGTATATACGCCTTAAAGGAACTGGTCAACAAATATAGAGGTAATAACTCCTCAGTTCTTATGTGTTTCATTGATGCTTCTAAAGCCTTTCATCGTGTTAATCATAGGACGTTATTTGTTAAGCTGAGTCAAAGAGGGGTGCCCAAATACATTGTGAGAGTTCTGGTCTACTGGTGTGTGTGTGTGTGTGTGTGTGTGTGTGTGTGTGTGTGTGTGTGTGTGGCCACCAGACTATGCAAGTCAAATGGGGCAATAGGGTCTCAGCCCCATTTGGGGTTAGCAATGGTGTCAGGCAAGGTGGAATGATGTCCCCAGTTCTTTGTAACCTCTATATTGATGATCTGTCCAAGCGGCTGAGAGCCTGTAATACTGGATGCATGCTTGGTAGCACTCTAGTGAACCGTATTATGTATGCAGATGATGTTGTTGAGCTGAGTCCATCTAGTGCTGGTCTCCAGCAGCTTCTTGCTGTTTGCTCTGTGTATGGTGTGGAGCATGACATCAAATACAACGCCAGCAAGAGTGCTGTCATGATCTTTAGAACCAAAGAAGATAAATGTCCTGATTTTAAATTGTCTGATATTAATCTTAGTGTCTGTAATAAGTTAAAATATCTTGGACACTTTATTACAGAACAAATGACAGATGAAGATATTTATAGGCAAGCAAACATTCTCCTACGTGAGTTTGGTGCGTGTACAGATGGAGTGAAGATGTCTCTGTTCAGAGCATATTGCACACCGCTCTAAACGGCTCATCTGTGGTCAAACTACAGAAAAGCAAGTTTACGGAAACTTCAAGTAGCTCATATTGATGCCATGAGAATATTGCTGAAGAGACCTCGATGGTCTAGCACAGGGGTGCCCACACTTTTTTGGCTGGTGAGCTACTTTTGAAATGACCAGCTCACAGAGGTCTACCAACCAAAAATAAAATCCCCAATTGCAAGGGTTGCTGAATAACACGTTTTATTTATACATGGGATAACTACAATAGGGCTGCAACAAACGACTCATTTGATAATCGATTAATCTATCGATTAATGAAACGATTAATCGACTATTCGGACTATTACTGTA